TGGTCCCTTCTTACAGATTTAAATGGTTTTGCGGTCCTTGTACACCATCCATAATTTCCTTTAAAAAATAAAAAAAATAAAAATATTAAATTAACAATGGTTAGGTTCTAATAGAATTAAAGAAAATGATTTGCATATATTACTTCAGATAATTAAAAAAAAAAATTTCAGTTACAATCTGAAAGTTATATTTAAAACTTAAATGACTTATATGCAATTAAAATTGCTAAATTTACAATTATTTGAGTTGATATTATTAACTAATTTTTTAACAAATTTATCAACAATCTAACTGTCAATAATTCAATCTTTTGAAACTTAATTATCATTTTTCTTGAAAAAATAATTGATTTTTTGGTTATTGAGTAACTCAGCAGTTTAATAAAATAAAGCTCAAGTTTCTATTTAAAAGAAAATGAAACATAATGGTATGATTTTTTTATTTTTTTATTTTTTTGCATAAAAAAGCGGTTCAGGGTCAATCCTACTCGTTGTTTCTAACTGTTAGGTAGCCCTTGAAACTTAAAAAAAACAAAGAATATGATGCTTTATAATGGTTTTAAAATGCAGGTATTTGGAGTCCTGGTCCATCATTCATAATATTCTTAAAAAAAACTATTGATTTGACTAGATATTATTAAAAACATGTTGAGTAAATTTAGAAGTTTAATAAAATAAAGCTCAAGATCCTGGACTTTTCATTCCTTTTCAATTAGTGTTTCTAAAATATAACCTTTTGGGTTTTTAATTTTAAAGCTTTTTTTTTTGTAAATATAATCATAATTATTAGAAAGATGGTGAAGAATAAGAATGTCCGTTAATGGTGTGAATTCAGACACAAGGATAATTGACTATCATTACAATATATTATATTTTATAAGGTGTGACCGAGCCCTTTAATAAAATAAATAGTTTTATGGTCCCTTGCTTTATGAAATTGGCATATTCATCATGCTGTTTTTTAAAAAATGAATTTATAATATTAACAAAAGAAGGAGACCTTTTAACCTAACCACGTGTTTCAAATGTTTTACAGTGCATATATTTTAAAAGGAAAATGACAATTGCAGACCTTGTTAATGGATAATGACAATAACAGACTTTAAATTTTAAAAGGATTAAGGTCCTTTGTTGCAATTGATGATTTCATTGGACTAGAATACCCCTTTGACCAATCACCTTTAATTTTTTTCAAAAGTGAATTGTAAATTTGTAGATAATTACTTTTGAATTGTGAGATATCATTTGTACATCTTTGGATAGTGAATTGTAAATTTACATCCATTTATGAAATTAAAGATATCCATTATTTGTAAATCTTTTAATAGTCAATTTGTTAATTTACATACATCCATTTGTAAAATTAAGGATAGATACTTTTGAATATTTAACAAGTCAGCAGCATGTGAAATAATCAATAGTCACTTGTGAATCTTTAATTTAATGAAGACATTTTTAATTGCAAAAGATGTTGGTCTTCCAAGAAATTCTAAAAATTAAAGGCTTGTAATTGTCATTAATCCTCTAACAAGGTTTGTAATTGTTATTTACTCTCTCTCTCTCTCTCTCTCATCACGTGTTAATATCATTCTTAGAAGATTCTTAAACATGATTTTCTCAAAAATGTAATATGGCTAGAACAATAACCAGAATGGATTGAAGGAATTATTAATTTTAACTCAATATAACTCAATTTGTATGATTTTAACTTGCATGGTAAAAACTCTATTCATAAACTTTGACTCTTATGACTCAAATATTATAATTTTATCTATTTAAAATGTTAGTCTCTACATTTTGAAAAATAAAGTTGTAAGAATAATCAACTAGTGTTAGTCCTAATAGAAGAGGTTATAGCTCCTTAACCATGATGCCTCAAGTTCGAGTCTATGTCAATGCAAAAAATGCTCTTGAAAAATTACTTTATTTGAAACTAACAATGTTTAAATATGACCCATTCAAATAGTTATATAAAATAAATTTTTTTATAAATAATAAAGTTATGGGTTAAATGACAATTTTTTCCTTAAACTAAGTCTAGAAGTGTCGATTGTCTAGATCTCTGAATTTTATTTTCAGTATCATATTTCCCTCCAACATTTAAAAATAATATAAATTACTCTTATTTTGACAAATATTAACTTTGACCATTACTAATAAAAAAAATAAAAAATTAAAGAAAATGACCTCAAAATTTGTTATCATTGACAAATATTAATTTTGACTGAGATTCTTCTTCATCATTTCAGATGAACCTTCTTTGCATTTCATCTGCAACCAGTAGCAACTAGAGGTGAGAGACGAATCTAGATATTAATTTTTTGGTCTTTTACCTTCTTTTCCTTCATTTTGGTATACACAGCACTAAGTGAGTGAGGCCATATATGTTCTTTTCCCCTGATTTCACTCAATTAATTAACTAATTTACCACATAAAGTTCCCAAAAATCACGTAAATAATGGGTTCATTATTATATTTGAATTGAGATTTTTGAATTTACAATTGTATGAATTAATATTTATAACTTATTTTCTAAACAAATTTATCAAAAATCTAATTATTATTAATTTAAGGGTTAAGACTAGTCCAGTTGCATTGCACCAAGCGTAAGCTTTCGAGAGTGGCTAGCCATAATGCATTCATTAAACATTAATTGTCAATAGCCTTGTGACCTAATGACATAACTCTTTTGTTGGTAAGGGGTCGCGGATTCGATCTCGCTTGTTATCTTAAACTATAGTGCTTGCCTCTATAATTCTAAAAAGAAAAATTCATTTATAGATTTATTATAAAAAAAATAATGTATAAAAAACTGGACCAATCATTGAATCGGTAAAAAATATATATTAGTTCAATGGCTTAAGGTCAAAATTGTAGTTAAACCGTAATCAAATCAATCATAAATAAAATAGAAAAAACATACCTTTTGATCCTTACACTTTGTTCATATTTTATTATAAGTCCTTGTACTTTTTTTTTGTGTCTTATATCCCTACACTTTTTTTTTTGATATTCTAGATCCCTAAATCAACAAAATAAACAAAGTGTAGGAACCTTAGATGAACATAAAATACTGAAAAATAAAAGTGTAGGGATTCAAAATATTGAAAAAAATGCAGGAACTTATAACAAAATACGAGCAAAGTACAATAACTAAAATGTATGTTTTTCTAATAAAATATTTTATTAAACTAGTCAAGATATTAATTTAATAATTTATTGGTTCAACTGAATGAGTTGACCCAAATTTTTATACTATTTACATCTTTTAAATTAGAGAGCAGATGATACCAAATTATGCATTCCAATGCAGCTCATTGCCCCTCCTCGTGTTGTTAATAAAAGTAATAATTAATAAAATTTAGTTTACAGCAAATCCATGAAATATTAAAACCCATACTTTAACAAACAATAAATGATAAAGTTGCTCAATAATATAACTATGAAAAAACCAATAATTTTAAAGTTTTATAATAGAAAATATTTGTGAATAACTAATATAAAACAATAAATTTTTAAAACCAATCTAGAAGAAAATTTGTCATATAAAATCATATACGATCAAATAATAGTTTGTTTAATAGAATAAATTTAAAAATAACAAGTCTTCAAAAATTCACTTTTTGGATACTTCATCAGAATGATTAACAAGTGTGGACACACAATTCATAAGGGTAAGTAATCAATAAGTACAGCTTAAAGCCATGAAATAATCAAGGGTGATTAGAAGCCACGAAACAAGTGCAGGCACAAAGCTCATAAAACAAGAGTAAGTACGATGCACATGAATATCCATCTTTTCATTTTACGTGTTTGGCTTGCACACAAGGCTAGCACCACCTATAAGTACCTTACTAGTTAGGTATATTATAGCACATTAAGGGCTAAGGAAACTGTCGCTAGCATCCAGTGTTCTAAACTTAATCTCCTAATTAAAATTGAGCTTGCATGGAGTTAAAACATTCATTGAAAATTATTTTTTTTTTCAAAATATAATATTCAACTATCAAATTTTCTTTTTAATTTTCTCCATGTACGAATCATCGTTTTAATAATAATATAAATAATAAAATTTAAACAACATATATGTTTAGAATGAATATTATGTTAATAATGTATTAGATTCAAATATTTTTTAACAATAGCATAATTCTTAATAAATATAAAGTAGATTCTATAATAACAAGTTAATTTAGGTAAGTAAAAAAATGTATGAATCCCAAAATTAAAATTGACAAGATATTTATACAACTTATAAAGAAATAATGTAAAATTTAAATAAAAAAATTTTATAAATGCATTATAAGAAATTATTTAGGATAATACTCGCTCACTTAAAGTTTTTTTAAATTTTAAAACTTGCATCTCTTAACTTTTCTCTTTAATTCAAATCATAATTCTAAAATAATTTATCAGGTAATTTTTCAAGCACTTAGTGTCATTTAAATTTAATCCAAATAATATTAAAGATAATATTATAACCAATTATGTTTTAGATATACTTGAGTTAGTTAAACTTTGATAATTCTCAATTCATTCTTACACATCCTTATAACTTATTCTCAACCACAAGTCATAATAACTCATATTAACCATTCCTATATTTTTTCTAGATTTAATAACATATCATTCAAGCATCCTCTGCATTCTTTTCTCCTATTTTAGTATTTTTAAAATTTCAAAACTTACATATACTCCTTTGAGTAATATTCATAATTTTTCTAGGTTCCGTTATAAAAATTTAATAATCTCACTTCCACCAACAAATTTTTCAAGTATATTTACAAACATTATAAGAACATTTATCATTAACTAAATTATGAGACAAGTTTCCAAGCAAATTCAATAATTTCAACATTTAATTTCTTTATTAATTTTTAGCTAACGTTAATAAAGTAGCATTTCATATTATTCAAAACAGCACGAAAACTTTTCACTCAAGCATTTCTGCAAGCATCTTGAGAGCATTCAATTTCAGCTCACAATATTCATCTAGCCAATTAATCAACTTTCCACATAAATTTTATCATCAACATTCAGCTTAGCATCACAACAAAAATGTGCACAGCATCAACGGAAATATAGTTTAATTTCATCAAAATTTTGACAGCAACTCTGAGGAACAAGGACGTGCTCTTCGGCTAAGGAAAAAGAGAGTAATTCATTTTGCTATAGAAATCAAAGAGGAAGGAGACAAAACCCAGCAGCCTACCTCAAACGAAACTTTAGTGTAGCAACTAAGAGCCAGCACCTGACTGACGCTGAAGAACAAAACAAGAAAAGAACTTCAGCTTGCTACACGAAGAAGGAAAACCAACAATTCTGACTAGTAAAAGAAAAGAGTCGAGCCACCATACACACACGAAACTTGCAGCCATTGAGGAAGAAGAAAGAAACTTGAAGACCACTCACAGCTCGAACCAAGGATGAAACAGAGAGCAATAACAGGGAAAGAAAACAACTACAATGGACAAACAAAGATGGAGAAGAGGGTGGCAGTGAGAACAACGCAGATTGACGGTGAGGAACAAGGAAACGCGACCAAGAAGGAGGAGGAAACTGTGATGATTTTTTAGAGACTTCCTCACCCTTCCTCTGTTCTGGCGTTCAAATGGGAAAGAAGGAGAATAAGAATCTGATGAAAAAGTATTTGGGAATTTTCAAGAGAGGTCTAAAGAAAAATTATGAGAAAAGTATAAAATTTTTTTATAATTAAAAATAAAATTAAATTTAGTTAATAAAATTATAATTTTTGAATCTTCAAAAAAAAAATTAGAATAAATTCTTATAAACTATTACCCTTTACTTGCTATAAGTTTAATTTAAATAAAATGTTAATAAAAAGAGAAAAATTAATTTAAGTTAAAATTTAAATTTAAGGCGATTACAAGTGGAGTATATTTGGCAAATATACTCGCAAGAAAGGTGCTTTTAATCAATGGGGAGAGAATGTGTGCTAGAGAAATATTTAATGAAGGGTATTTATGAAAAGATTAGATAATTTTAAAGGCATCAATCAATTAGTTTTCTTAATTTATGTAAAATAGATAATTTCGTTTTATAAAAAAAGACGGGAATAGTTCATCTATACTAAGTATAAAAAATATATAGATTGTAAAAAAAAAATGTATATAATTACTTCACCTTTCTTAATAAATGATAGCCTGTACTCCCTAGTTCTATTTATAAGATATAGATATAAGTTTTTTTTATTTATAAGTCACATTAAATTTTTATCATATTTTTTTACTATCCCTTAAATATTAGTGAGAAAAAATATATTATTAAAACATGTGCACACATATATATTTAATGAGAGTAAAGCTAAGAATTTATTAAATTTTTAGATAAAGTTAATGTATTTTAATGTTTGTCTTAATTTTAATAAAATATATTAAAAGTAATTTATAAATATATCACGTGATATTTTCAACCTTATTAAAAAAATGTTAATATTTTCATTTTTGTTATTCAAGGCAGCATAAATGACTTGAACATAATAAGTGCCGTTTTGAAATTAAAAACAAGTCAAAAAACACTATGATTGAAATTCTCAATTCAAATCAACAATAAATAAGAGAATATTAGGATTGAAAATAAAAATAAAATATTGTATGTTATTTTATATGTATCGTATTCCATCTGGACAAAACATAAGTATTTTCTTTCTACTAATCTTAATTTAAAATATAAATAGCTTACCCGTTGTAAATTTCTTTTTCATATTTTATCAATTGCATAAATTAACCTAAATTTTTGTGTGAAGTTATTATATTCTTTTCACTCATCATTGATAATTAGGACTAATGATAAAAAGAAAAAATAATAAATATTTTCATCAAAATAAAATTTTTATTAATATGCAAATTATTGCTAAAAATTACTTATATTTTAAATCGGAAAAGACTATGTATAAAAGTAAATGACTTTCATGGTTCAATTTTCGGTTTCCACGAATATTAAAACATATAGAGTTGGCCTTGACTATAAAAGAAAATTCAATGGTGGTTTCCACGAATAAAAAAAAACACGCTCATTGTTGGCATTGATTTGAAAAGAAAATGGAAAAGCAAGGTCAACTTTCCTGCTTTCTTAATTCTCTTTGGTGTCGGATTACATGATGAATTCCACTTTATTAGAATTTTATAAAATATATATTAAATTTTTTAAAGAAAATAGAATCTAATTTTATGAGTGCTTATATTAAAAAAAGTTTATTTTTGTCTAAGGCTAACTCAAGTGCATTGGGTGAATTGGCATATGGATAATGATTAAGGATTCAATGCATTATGATATAACAATTTAACAAAAAAGCTATTTTATAGCTTCTATAAAATTACTCCCTCCATTTTTTATTATAAATCACTTTTAACTACATCACCAAAATTAAAAAATAATGGTTAACTCATCAAATTTATCTTAAAATTAACAAAATTAATATTCTTTTTCAACTATTTCACCAGACTTTAGTTTTAATATTATAACTTTGTCTCCATTAAAGAGAGAAAAAAAATATTTGAGAAGCTATATAGAAACACTAATTTAAAATTAAATTTTTGGTTTTGATTAAAAAAAATTAAAAGTAAATTCTTCTTTTAGTAATTTGCAGCAGGGGTAAAATTGAAAAATGTTAATTAATAATCCTATATGTGACTTGTATTAAAAAGTATCCTATAATAGAAATTGGAGGGAGTGCTTCGTGATTCTATAACATCACAACATGTGTCCATCCAATTAAACTCTCAAACTTAAATAGTGTGCAAGAATTTCTAAAGCAAATGATTGAGGATAAAGTGAGCCAATTAATTCACCCTTTGAAGGCGTACTTAACACCAATTCTCAACTTGAAGATTCCCTAAAGCTAATCTTGAAACAACAGATATGGAATTTAAGACGTCATTTGAGTTAATATATTCTCCACCAAGAAAGAAGCATCATAGTGTGAAGAATAATTAATGGAAACATAACGCATCTTATACCAATATGAATGGATGTGAGATGCTTGATGCAATTTAGTTGAAGCACAATATATTCTATACCAAGAAGCACATGATTCAACTTGTCTAGGAAGTTGAATCAACTTATCTTAAATATTGAGCTTGAGTTTTGGGATATACAGTCGTATTAAATAAATATGTCAACAACATATTCGAGGTGCCGATGAGGTTGCCATGAGTAATAACAATCGTACACGGTAGGGTTTTGGATTAATTTGTGACAATCTTTGTTGCTTCTATCAAAATCATGTTTTGAAGTATCACAATGTATCACACTAAACATATACTCTACATAGTAAGAAATATGTGCTAATGGAAGAGTAACTTAGGGTGATTATTGGGGGTATGAAAACTAAATATGATAAAAAAGACAAGCAAAAAGGAAGAAAGTATGTGAAAAGAGACAAGGGTGAGAGAGTTGAAATGATAATATAATCAGTGGTAGTGCTTGGGTTTTTGCTGCAAATCGGAGAGGAAAAAACAAACTAGATGAACGTTTTCCACATCCAGGTTCAATAATGTGTGTGTGTGTGTGATCAAAAGATAAAGTTACTAATTTCAGTTGATGTTCTTCAATTTATGAAAAAATATGTGATCTTTCAATCTTGCCATTCATTAAAATTAATGACCATAGTAAAGCATTATTCAAGAATCAAAATATGCCAATTTGTTCCAATTAAGGAGGGTAAGATTTAAAAAAAAAATTCAACTACCACATCTTCGTCTTATATTAATAACTAAGTAAAATTTTTAAAACTTTATAACTTAGTCTCTGAGAGAGAGAGAGAGTGTGTGTATTACTCCTTCGTGATATTTTTATAAAAAGCTTATGTGGACACTGGAAAGAAAATTAAATTTGTAACATATTAATAAATTTTAGTTGTTTTTCTTGGTCTTGATGATTTAGTTATATGTTTCCTATAAAAATGATATGGAAAGTATTTGAGTATAAATAAATTATTTTTGGATTTCAAAGGAATTTAAATTTGGAGAATATATAAAATTTAAATCTAGCAAAGCTAAATTATTTAAGCTTTTTTGGAATACTAGAAAATTCTATGCAATAGTAGATAATCTGGCAAAGCTAAATTATTTATCTAAGAGACTTTCAAAGATAATTTCTAAAAATTTAAATTTGATAAATTTCTCATGACTATTGTTTTCTACCTTATTATAATTTAAATACACCTCTAGTTCCCCCACCTCCTCCTTATTTTGGGTTATCAAAAGTTATAACAAGTCGTATCATTTTTACCTTCTTATTTATTGCGGGTTGGTTATTCATCGCCATAGGTTTAACTTACAATTTATTTGGGAGCCTTCACCCAACGAGTATTTTACAAAGAGCCGATAAGAAATTCTATTAATAATTGACCATTTTGATCTTTTAGAACAATTTGATGAATTTAGTAGATCTTTTTAGAAGACCTTAATGATCATAGATAAAACCTATCCTATATACTGTGAATAATATGACTTGCTTTACAAACTTTATACAACATAACAAGAAAAAAAATGTCTAGTCTATATGTGAAATATGCAAATGTTAATTTGCAAGTGAAAGTAGGCATTAAAACATGGACTTATCCCTCAATCAAGGTCATCAATTTGAGCATTGTGAATGCAAAAATATCAAATTGATAATATTAGAGTTAATATTCAATTTAAACCCTAAACTATAAGTTCGAAAACAATTTAAATTCTAAACTTTTACAATGTATATTTTAAACTCTAAATAATTAAAGTTGGTATAATTTTACCTCCACCATTAAATTAAAGCAAAGATCTATTTTTTTGTCAAAAAAATGAGACTTAATACATAATTTTTCTCAAAGAACAGTAAAGGGAAGAGGGAGTGTAAAATTTGATAAAAATCTAGCATTAGACCCTATTTTTTAAAAAAATACCGAATACGTAGTTTAATTTAACAATAAGGGTAAAATTACATTAACTTTAATTATTTAAGATTTAGCTTATACATTATAAAAATTTAGGATTCAAATCACCTTTAAACCTATAATTCAAGGTGTAAATTGCATATTAACCCATAAAACTATTTCTTTTAGGTTCACAATAATTGAAACTACTTAGTAGTATGGTCACCCCAATGTTTTTCTTTTTAAAGGAGTGTATTGAGATTAATGGCTTTTTAGAAGATAAAGACAATTCTTACCCACAGAATGTTGCTGATGATATTCACAAATATTTGATGATAGTGAGCAACACTATCTATTCTGAATTTCATTTACTATACACTGATTTGGATCATAAATTTTTATTCAAACAAAAAAAAAGTAAAAAAAAAAAAAATAGTATAACTATGAAAAATATAACAAGCTCAGGCGTCTTCTTAGTTACCTTATTGGTAGCCTGAATAAATAAATGTCTAGAATCCTAATGTGTGTTTCTTTTTAACTTTTTCTATCAGATCTTCTTCAGATGGAATGTTGTTGCCAGCTTTTGAGGTTGCGTCCCACCATGCCATGATTTCTTCCTGTGAAGATTAAGTGAAATATTGAAGATGAAGTCCAAAAGGATATCCAGAGACAGTTATCTTTTTTTTTTTTTTTGGCTTTGTTACAAAGGCAGTTGGGTAGAGAGACTAAAAAGAAAGCCAAATGAATTTTTTTTTTATTGCGCACATGTAAACAGAAGCAATCTTATTCAAAGTATTGTTCATGAGCACCTTTTTCAATAAAAATTTAAATCTTAATTCATCACATTGTGAGAAATTAACTTCTTCTAATAAACCTAATCTTTATTGATTAAATGAGATTATTGAAAGGGATCTTTTGATTAACATTTCTAGAGATTTGTTTGTTGACAGACTTTGCAAAGTAAGATAAGGCTTGTTTTTCTACCAATAGGATAAGGCTTTTTGTTACAAAAGCAGTCATTATTTTTTTTTAATATAATGAGCAATAAATCTTTTGCTCTTAGCAAAATAAATAAATAAGAGGTTGGCTTAAGTGGTAAGGTATGTATAAAAGTCTAGGATTCAAACTTCCTTGATATAATTAAAGAAAAAAGAAAAACTAGAAAAGACATACAATAGAATAATGCTAACATAGATTAAAAAAAGACATGATCTAAGAACAGGTATCTTTATAATCTTTTTCAAATTTTTTTGGTAAAAAAATAAAATTATTGGTAATTTTTTTATTTAAATCCCAATAAAATTATATTTTGCATATGAAAATAATTTCATGAATAGCCAAAGAATGATTTTTTTCAAAAAAAAAAGTCATTAGAATGAACTAGACCGAGCTAAACTGCAAACATAATCACCTTTTGGTCCCGGTCATATATTTCAGATGAAATAACAAGGAATTTAAATACACCGAAGTTTATGCAATCCTAATATAAAATCTCATTTCAGTTATTAACATTAAATCAAATAATCCAAATCTTCAGTCCTTCACAAATTATCAAGAGTAATGCTACTTTGTACAGTAACCTTTTTTTTAAAATGAATTTTGCAGAAACTGCTAAAGTGGCTGCATCTAAGCTTCATTAAAAGAACTGAAGTAATTAAAACTACTTGCTCAAATGCAACCATATTATTAAATGGATAAGACTAGAATAAAGTTTTTGCTAAAAAGTTTATCTGAATATGAAGTTTGATATGTTCAAATAACTTGAAAATAGCAGCCAGAAAATCATGTCCTCCAGTACAAATTATCACGTTTGAATTTCACCAGTTATGAAGCATCAATGACGTTAAATCAATAACTGCAATAACAATAGATACAGTAAAAGAACTTGATGAAAAATAGATTGTTACCTCAAGAAAATCATGATTGGATATATACTGACTTTCAACCATACACTTGATCCCTCCAACAGTCACGGAGATAGATCTTCTGGCTTTCTGCTGAGGACTCTGTCTCTGGGACTCTGTCAATAACAAAACAAAATAAAAACAGAAGCAAGAAAGAATCATGACTCATCAAAATCAAAGAACTTTGAAGAATTTCTATAATTTAATCCAAGTAACATTACAAAATGCACATCCTATGTAGAAATAAAGGACAAGATGTAAATTTAGTTATACCATTTATAGAAGCGACAACGTATCCAGATCTCCACAGCCCTTCTTCCCACTTCCCAAGCCGCAAGCGCAAGAAGAAGCCATCAAGGTTTGATATAGACATATGAGAGTTTATCCATCTGTTGTAAAGGACGTTCTGTCAAATGTAGTAGAAGACTAGAAGTTGAAGAGAAATAATTGTATTGAAAATGAAATTGGTAAATGTTTTCTAATTATGATGGCTCAACACAAACATAAACTTTGTTGCTCTGTGTGCTCACATGCGTGTGCGTGTGCGTCTACAAATGACAATTGAAGTATCTCATTTATATTTATTCGTTAACACTTTACTCTTGGCTTTTAGTAAATATTCTACTGACAAGTAAAACAATTATAAGGTTTGGTCGGCCAGCACAAGGTTAGCCTTTTAAAATTATACATCTCAAATTTAATTTAATTTTGAAACATGTAAAATAATATATATATATATATATATATATATTATCCTGTAATGGATTTGAAAGTGAAATCCTGGTCCTTCTTTCTATTCAAAATCAAGAGGTCAACAGAATGTTATGAGTGAGAGAGAGAGAGAGAGAGAGAGAGGCATCAATGGAAGACATGCATAAACATCTCAAGGTGCTTTTAGAAACGGAAAAAGATATTTTTACCTTTTAAACTTTGGTCTAATTACAACTTGAGCACATCGATTCTTAATGGTAACAAAATTCTCCCTCTTCTTCGTATAAAAATTTTAACTCCCAGTCTCATTTTGGTGTGTCTTAAACTTCTCCTAGGATCAAAGAGATGCTTGTTAAAATATTAAAGTTCACGTAGTTACCCTTTCAGGAGTAAATTTTTTTCCTTTGGAAATTCACTGAATTTAAGAAAAGAAATTTCGAGATGATCCCTTCGTGGATACATTTATAAACATAATCTAAACTAGAGCCCTTCTAATTTCATAAATTCATGATTAATAAGTCCATGCAATTAGAAGTTAAGGGAGGAATAGAGTTTCTCTGCTGCAAAACGAGCATCAGGGCCTCAAAACAGAGGGACCCAAAATTTTTCTTTTTATTTAAATAAAATCAGATGGTTCTCCACGCACAGCAAAGAATCAAAGTAATCAAAGGAGATCAAATTATGAGACAAGACCAATCCATGGTGCTGCTCAGAAGTTCAAGATCATATTTGCAAGCTTTTGCCCACTCAATGTAGATAGGTTTTTTTTTTTTTTGCAAAAAAAATGGAGATGGGTTCTTTTTTTTCATTATGTTTGAACTAGTTTATGCAGGACTTGCAGGTAGGAAGGCTCTTCTGATAAGAAACAATGACGAAAAGGATATAAATGGTCAATAGCCAAAATACAAAAGAAGGTTCTTCCCGAAAACCTTCATGCTAAGAAAAGGATGCACAGTTAGATCACATAATTTTCATCTTGATTCAGACTAATGCCACATGAAGATATGATTTAAATAATTACTACTGATTTTAAGAATTTGCATGCATCATGCGCATTGACACACATAAGTTGTTCACGATTTATGCAATATACAAGGACTTTGTTTGAGAACATGAAAATTACTTGTGTATTACTTACTTGAGGATTTCGGTGCGAGACAAACGAAGCTTTTTCACTGCATCAAAGATTCTCTTTGTTTTATCCGAAATCTGCCTCCCAATGAAGCCATATGGAGATGTCATAGAGCTTCCCTTCAATCTGCATTCCATTGAACTTGAACCAAAGACTTCCTTGATTAATACACGGGACCCTATATTCTCTGAGGGTATCATTTCATTTGATGACTGCTTCAAATCAAGATTTTGATTTGCTTCAGGGTCAATTCCAGCATTTATAGCACCTCCAGGCAACAGATAGTCCACCTCACTAGGTAGAGGTCTAGCAGTCTCTTCTTTGCCTGAATTAAAATTAGTTTCATTTGGACTACAGTCATTGACTAAAGCACTGACTTTCATATCATGTTGCCCAATTTGAACTGAAGTGGGACATGATATTGCCCAGTGATTGGGCTGAAAGCATCTAATGCATAAGCATGGTAGTTCCTCCAATTTCCCATAAGAACTGATATTTTTTTGAAGAGCTTCAAGCTCACTCTCTGCAATCTCTGAGCAATCATGAAGTTGGTGACCTCTTGTCCCACAGAACATACAGGTCTTGTTCATGTGAGTGGTACTACTGGTTCTGTACAATGGATTGATATGTTTGGTGGCATCCAATCTCCTTGCAAACGCAGAAGCTATTGTCTCTGAATTTGTGACTTTTGGAGACGGTGAAACTGGGTTGAGATAATGAATTGATTTATGATCATCATCTAAATTATTCTTAGCATCAATTGAAGTCTTCCCATACATTGAACAACAACTGTGTGACTCTTTAGCCTCTCTACTGTCTTCATTCTTAAACTTGTGTTCGGGAGTCTTTGAGTGATCAGAGATTGTCAAAGAGGCTGTTGATTTTGAGAAAATCGAGTTATCCATAGACTTCCAAGAGGACTTCTGTTGTACAAATTATCTTCCTTTTTCTCACAGAACACATAGGCATCATCATTCTCAGTATTATTTGTATTCTGTCTTCCTGAAGATGAATTTTCCTTACTAAATACCAAGTTGAAACAATTTTTATTTTCCACTGAATCATTTTTACTGCTTTCATGACTGATAACAGCATTTATTGGTCCAACCTTGGTCTGGGTGGATGGACCAGCATCACATCTCCAAGCAGATTGCTCAGACTCATTTGATGGAATACATTGTTTGTAAAGGCCATCATTCTCCGCACAACATGTTATTGGAGTTGCATCTATTCCATGTTCTTTGTTACATAGATCTTCAGAACTATCTCTTTCTTGATGACTGGCACTTGCAATTCTTGTTCCCCAGGGGCAATATATGGCCTGAAAAATGGATTGGAAGCCAGCACTTTTTGGCTCTGGATCACAGTTCTTCTTATTGCCTGCGATGAATTTTGGATCAGCAGCTGATGACCATGATTGGTATGTTCAAGTGTGAGAGGCAAAGGGTTTACCTCGTCTCGAATTGTTTGCGAAAATCCTTTCCTCATGTTTGATATCCAGTTCATGAAGGAACTATCTTGTTTGACAAAGTATTTGGGACTTGAAGCTTCTTGGACTTGCTTTTTGAATCTTTTACTCCCAACCATTAACTGCTGTTGTAAGTTCCAACTCCTCTTACCTTTCAAAAACAACCCAGCACTGTTACAGCTTTCAACACTTTCATGGCTGTCATCCTCTTCCTCATCCTCCTTCGATAATCTTACATCACCATCAGGAAGGGCCTTTTCCTTGCCTTTGATGTTTATTATTTTAATTTCACTATTACTTGGAGAATGCAAAATTGGAAGATTCGTATCACATAGAGGTATCATTTCATTGTCCTGAGATTTATTATCAATTTCTCTAGAATTTGAAGCTAGATTTCCACTTGCTCCACAAGCAGCATCACAGTTGAAAGTTCGTGAATCATTTTCAGCAGTTGACTCCAGTTTTTCCAAGGCACCTCTGCTGGAAGAAGTTGAATTGGTTCCTGCACCAGTACCCTTATATTCAGTTACCAGCTCATCTTTAGCACATAAATCATCATTTGTTTCAATTTCCTGATTGCTGATACCTATGTCTCCGCCCCCACTAGCAGGATCCCTTGGCAGTGGATTCTGCTCCATGCTAGATTTTAGTTCATCTACTTGATGTAATAGTACGTCAAATGACCTTTTGTTAACCTCACCTGCAAGAAAATCAAGATACAGGTGACATTTCAGATTTGCATAAAAGGAAGAACTTCTGAGCAAGAATTTCAATAGAACTCCCACTTTTAAACTAGGAAATGGTCTCAAAATTGAGAAGCTATGTATTTACAGAAAATGCCCACCGGATAAATTGAGATATTCTATACTATAAAACAATATCCATGACTATGATATCAATCAGGCACAAAGAATATCTGATAAGCTTTATTATTGTAATCCCAAGAGAATCGTAAAATCTTCCTTCAGACAAGTGTGACACCTGAGATTGTGGAAGATTTCTGTCCCTTCATTTGAGACATATGAGCAGTCCCAGTGTTGTCTTCATTGCAAATCTTTACGTTCTCCTTCTGATCATGTAATTTTAATACTCCATCAGCAGTTTTTGTTCCCTCCATATTACCAATAAATCCTGCCAAACAAGAGTTCTGAGGAATTAAGAATATGTTTTTCCAGTAAACAAAAAATAGTAGAAAAGTCGGTAGTATACTAATACCAATCTGGATAACTCTTTTTCTTTTCTCATTCAGTTTGGTTCATTTGTGCCATGGATTGACTTCAAACCTACCTTTATCTGCAGTTATAAGGGAAGGAGGAAGGAGGGATTAGTGATGTTACCCTTACCTGTTTCATGTTCTTTATGTGCTTTATATTCTGGCTTGACACCTGGATCACTTGTGGGATGCCCAATGGGAGTATCTATATCTATATCATTAATACCAGTCTTTACACATGTGGCAGCAACAGGTTCATCAGCTGGAGAGCTCTCCCCAATGGCACTCTGTGGAGGAGCAAGAACCATATTGCAGGATCCAACATCCCAAAATAGGGAGGCATTCTTGTCAGCAAAGCTTGAATCCGCACATTTAAGGCTCAAGCCTTTATCTGGAGACCAAACTAGTTCAGATAGAGCGTTAGAGGCAACAAATTTCATGTCTAATCTGGAAGATGCATTTGCACCTGCACCTGAATCATTATTCAAAGTCTTCCAAATGCAATGGCTAGGATCATTTGTGCCAAGTTCCAAATCTGTATTTGGTTCTATCTTTGCATTTTCTGAACTCATCCTTGTATAATTATAAACTTTTCACCAGGAGATCCTGAAATAATATTGAACTTCAGCTTTGTGTAACATTGTGATTGAAATGAAAATTCTGAGTACAAGGTATTTGTCAATGTGGAGGGAACAAGAGCCATAGATGAAGGTTGTATTGAATTATGATTTCATAAGATAACATAAGTCGCACTAGAGCTACAGAAAATTTCATGCTATGAATTTTGTATATACTTTACTATTACCATTATGTAAACAAATAGTACCAAGAAAAACCACAAACACAACCAAACTTTCTACAAGTTACCTTGCATGCCCATGCAAAACCATAGGAACACAAGCCAACATAATTATTTCAAAGATCATTAAGTGACACAAAAGATTCATTTTATATTTCTGGACATTTGACTAGAATTAGGCAACAATTGCGGCTAGCTCTAACTGCACTTATGTACTCTAATTGCAGCTTATATGATTTCTGTCCACACTTTATTTACTTATTTATTTCCCATCCAGCTAGGAAAGTCTAGTGCGTGAGCATAAGGATATTTAAAGAAGCACTCATTCCAATGAAATAACAACTATTAAAGAGAATACATGTAGATGAATAGTAAATGAATAGTGATAAGTGATTTTGCTCTTATATTGATATATTGATTTCTTAATCCACATATGAACATAATTCTCTTTGAAGAATTTTATCCTTTGGTCTAGATTTTTCAAATACAAAAACATTAACCTTAATAGTCATTAGAGCTGTTACAATCTGATGTGTAGTGGTGGAAAGATAAGAGAAAAATATAAATAATAAGTGAATTAGTAGTTAGTTAGTTGGGAGTTAGTTACCGTTTGAATAAATGAGAAGGGAACCTATATAAGGCATCAAAAGGTTCAATTCTTTAGATAACATAAAAGGCTATTCCAACAAATTATTGATCTAATTAATATTTCGCAAACTGCTTCTTAAAAATAAAAACTAATAATGGAATCCATGGTTTTGGTTCTTATAATATTCACATCATGAAATTTATTTCCTCATGAAAATTATTTCCCATTTAATTTTTTTTTTGTTTTTATAGTTTTTTGAGAATCAATGTCAAATACAAGATCTATAGCAGGCCACACTGTTTACAAGCTGTGAATGGTGCACCTCATTCTTCATACTTTATGCAAAGCACTGGTGGCCTACCTAGTTTATTAACGATATTGTAATATTTATAGATTTTCACATATTGCAATGATCACATACAATCCCCATTTAGACATCAATTTTATTTTATACACCATTCATACTATTTCAAAGCTATGATGCAGAGACACATCGATAAAGGTTGTCAATGCTAGACACCTGTTAGACATTCGAATTAAACATGATGCAACACTTCAAATTACATACGCACTACAAATTTTTTGGCGTTGCAGTGTTGGGTTTTTATGTCAGTGTATCCATGCTCCCCGATTTTAAAATTAAGACTTCTGTACACGCAATAAAAAAGGTATGAGCTTGCATCTAACCTACATCTTGCGGTTGAAGCAATTTGATATCCCAAGTAGGAGGTGGATCTCGGCATCGATGTGCTTCTAGGAGGGTGTTCTTCTGTGCCCTCTCTTCCTCAAGCTTGGGTATAAATTATTATACCTGGGATCTAAACAAGAACTTAAATTAAGATTACCGAATACTGATTTATAGCTCAAAGTTTCCTCCGGCAAATAATATCAAAAGTTCAACACAAGTAGGGCTAAACCTCACCAGTCCAAGAAACACGCTACCATACAAATACCAAATTAAGTGTATTAATTTTAATAAGGTAATAAAACTGAATTTTGAGCTTACCCTCCAAATTATCAAAAATCTACTTCATGCACACCCCAAACCGCAATTTCAACATATGAACCCAAGAGACAAAAGCAGGCAAAGATAGTTTATTAGCTAAGCGTTTCTCGTTGTTGAATAATCAAGACAACGGTAAGAAGCTCTTGTCCATTGGGTATAGAAAAGTTTATGGCTACCCAAAGAATTAAAAGAAAAAACCATAGAGATTAAAACGAGATATAGCATTATATATAGTAGATAAAAGACATAATGAAGCAGGAATCAGAGTAAAGCAAAAGAGAAAATGAAATATGTCTCCGTTAGCTCTGTAGGGAAATGCAGGAGAGACTGACCAAGGGGTCGAGCGAAATTGAAAATTCTGATGAGAGGCTATCAGAGAAACAAACAAACATACCTCACATAGAACGACACTGTCGAGTTGGCCTATCTTAAACCAAAAGAGAAAAGGAAGAAAAAGGTAGAGAGAGAGAGAGAGAGATGGAGAGAGAGGTTTGATTCTGCGTTTGTGCTGAGAGGGCCTGAGAGAGAAGAGACTGCCGGAAACAGACGTTCGGCAGTCACAGTTCCATGAATCTCTCTGCCTTTTCTGAACTGTGAGGCTAAGGACGTCCCACGTCGACGTCTCTTCATGCCTTGACGGTTCTGTTACCCTTGCACTTGAACGTGAGGGTGGGCCAGTATTTATATACAACACCCCAATTTTTATTTTTTATTTTTTGAGCAAAATACAACACCACAAATTTGCTCAATATTTTTTTTAGTTACCAAAGTATTTTACAATCATAAAAATAAAATTAATCTATCAAAAAATTTGAATTATTCTCTTTTAAATAATACTCTTTCACACGCGCTTTCAAAAATCAAACTTTTAATAATACTTAAAGATCCATACAGCTATCGTTTGTACTACAGCCACTTAATATTTGCTCAATATTATAGTATTAATGCTTCCATGATACCAATGATTACATAGCTCAATTGGTAAGTTGCGCCAATTTAATTAGTGATTTCAAATTTGAGTTCTGGCAATTTAGCTATGTTAAATAGGATAATTGTATTAAAAAATGCCTCCATAATATTTGAATTTTTTAGAATTTTTCTTTGTTTCAAAATAAAATAGATTAAGTAATTTTATAATTTTTTATTTATATCTTTACTTTATTTATTATCTTTTTAAAAAAGTTTATTAAAATTTTAGTTGTTATTATTAAGACATTTATATGAAGTATTTAATGGGAGTATAATTAAAAAATAATATAATTTTTTAAAAAAAGTAAGGTTTCAACTAATATTTTTTAATAATTATAAAATAAAAGATTAAAAAAATTAATCATTTGATCCCTATAATTTTAATCTAATTATAACTTACTCCTTATAATTTTAACTCAATTGTAATTCAATTCTTAAATTTTGACTCTCATAGCTTAGTCCCTATAGTCAAAACTATTTCAATATTGGGCCTGCTATTTTAAAAAATAAAATTATAAAAATTAAAACTATTTTAAAATTAAAATAGTTTAGTAATTTAAAATATTAGTCCTAAATTTTAACATAATTTTAATCCTTATGGTTTTATTTTTTTAAAAAAAATAAGGACTAATATTTGAAATAGTTAAAATTATAAAGACTAAATTTCAAGAGTTAAAATTTAAGAATTGAGTTACAAATGAGTTAAAATTATAAAGACTGAATTTTAAGAATTAAAGTTTAAAAATTGAGTTAAAAACTGGTTAAAATTATAAGGATTAAGTTGCAAGTTAAAGTTTAAGGATTAAATTATAATTGAATCAAAATTATAAAGACTAAATGATTGATTTTATCAAAAAAATATATAATTAACTTTATATGTTTATATAGTACTTATCAATGTCTTATACACTAGGGTGAGTTTAATATAAAAAAAATATCGTTCAAAGGCCACTGAAATAATTTAATATTAAATAAGAATTAATAATTAATTAATAAATATTCTTTTGTATCTAATAAGAAGTATTCACTAATTCATAAATTCAAGAATCTAAAAGAGTTTGGACATAAAAAAGGACAAGTATAAATCATGATTCAACTAGTAATTATTCATTAATTAATAAGTACCATTTGCATTTAGTAAGAAATTATTCACTAATTGACATATTAAAAAAAGAAAAAAATTAAGATTATTATTATTATTTTTTATCTAAAATTATTTTTAAATTAGTTCTCTGGTCCTATAATAATATTCATATTTTATTGGTACTTTTTTAATATTAAATTGCTTTGGTTGAATGATCTTTTCTTAAGATAATGTGGTGTCAAACAATTTTATACAACTTTTTACGAGCAACTTGAAAGAAAGAAAACAACCTAAGCTGACGTCAGACAATATTCCCTTCCCTTGTTACTTGTTAGGGGGTATGGGCACCTCTTTACCTGTATTACTGTATAAAATTTTATGAGATTAGACATTTATAAACATTGTGTGTGTGTGTGTGTGTGTGGGGTACTCTCACACTATGTAGTGAACAATAATGGGTTGAGTGTTACCCTTTCTTTCATGAAATTCGGGACTTGAGCCTAAGGCTTGAACATTACTTAATAAAGCTTCCTATGAATTAAGAAATCATAGAAAAGAATATAATAAGTGACAATTGCACCTGAGGTCCCAGAAAAAATTACGCCCAAAGCTCAACACATTTTGAATTATTTTTAAAAAAATATAACTTCGTATCTCTATACTTTACTAAAATTTTACCCTAAATTCCTACACTTTTTTTAATATTTTAAATTCTTAAACTTTTATTTTTTAATATTCTAAATCTCTTTATGAGCAATGTTGTAAAGATTTAGAACACTGAAAAATAAAACTATAAGAATTTAGAACACAAAAAAAAATATAAAGACTTACAGCAAAATTCAAACAAAGTGCAAGGACATAAAATTATGCTTTCCATTATTTTTTGTAGGTCTAAAGGCTCCAAATGTAAATATATTTCTGTGTGGAAAGACATATTTGCCCTTAATTATGAACTATGTATAATAAACAAACGTTGTGTTACACGTATACACTTTGTCATGTTCTTTATGAATATTGTGTTGCATATACACCTGAAAAACTTATACATTATTATTTAATTTAACCACACATATTATATATAATAAACAAATATTGTATTATTTATATATAAATTTTGTCATTTTTTTTATAGACATCATGCTATTTACGCATGAACTTTGGTACGTTCTTTACTGACATTGTATTGTATATATACATAAAAAACTTGTACATTTGAGGCAAATATGTCTTGTACTGGGGTGGGGGGAGCATATTTATATTTAGGACCTTTAAGCCTATATAAGTAATTTAAAATATATTGAGCCTTATGTATAATTTATTATTATTATTATTATTATTATTATTATTATTTTTTATTCTGGGAGCTTCGGTTGCAATTCACCAGTACAATAATCTCCCTTAAAATAAGGAAGAAGAAACGGCTGAAGATGGATTAAAAAGAAATAGTAAATTCCAACTTGAAATTAGGGGGCAACGCTTTTTTCCGAGCAATATGGTCCCAAAAAAATACCGCAACAACCCTAATTTTACTAAATAGGGCCAGTCATATATGTACAACTAAGTTCTTAAAAATATTGATAACAAAAAGATCTAATTTAACAACTTTTATAAGTATTTTATTTTATTTTTCTCTACCTCTTTTTATAAAATTTATGATTATTCTTTTTATTCTTCTTGGTTTCTCCCATGATCTTTTTTATAAATGTTTAAATTATCTCAAATAATTTTTTATCATTTCTTTCTCAATAGTTATCATGCACATTTTTTTTTTGTATATGTTTATTTTGTACTTTATTTTTTTCATATATGCCGGCAAGTTTATATCAACATTTTTATTTTTATTATTTTAATTTATACTCATGTTGTTCTTTTAAAGTCTAAAAAAAAATCAAAATAAGAAAAATGGTCCAAACGACTGACTTGAGGCATATTAAAATATCTTAATTGAAATCATTAAAGTTGATTTGAGTGATAGAAATGTTTATTATGTGAGCAAGTAATTGAAAAGTTTAACCTTAATCTTTGTATATGTCCTTGTTTAATTGTGAAAGATCAATCCATTGTTGTTCTTAGTCACTAGGGATAGTTTAATAATAATATATTTTAATATTTGAGGCTCCATTTTACCGTACATGATAATTATGTAGGCTCTATTTTCCGTACATGATGATGACATGTTGGGTGTCGTTTACTACAATGTGACCCAACGACAACACGTTTATAGATTAGGCATCACATTTTTCACACATTAAAACGTAATCAAGGGTAAACCCCATTCAAGATTTGATTAGCTGATAATGCCTCGCTATAACAAACCTCTTCTTTTGGGCCAAAAAAACAAACAAACAAACAATCAAACACCTCTTTTTCTTCTTGTTGACTAAGAATAGTTGTTATGATACAGAGTCTCAAACATTGTAAATTTAAGTTTCAGTAAACCATTAATTTTTTTTTTACAATTCTACCCTTTGGTAGGTAAGAACTGTCCCATCCAATGAAACGAATAACTAAATCACGTGAGCCAAGCAACGTTTAACATTAGAGTCAATAATTTAAACTACTTTATTTATTTGAATTTCAGTTCAATTCAAGTTAAATTTATTTAAATTAAAATTAAAATACATGAATGTGTAAACTAAAATTTATATAATCAAGTTCAATTCTAACACCTCAAAATTATTTAAATTAGTCCAAATATTTAAATTGTTAAATATTTTTTTATTTTTTAGTCAATTTCAATTTTTTATTAAAAATTAAGAACTTTAATTTTTATCTTATTTTAATTTTATTTTATTAATAATGAAAAAAATTCATGTATTCAAGATAAAATCTATTTGAGTTTGAGCAAGGCCTAAATTTCTTTGAGCTTTTTTAAGTGACTCTAATGGGATTGGAATAAATAAAAAAATTCTAAACTTTTAAGGTTGGCTTAAGATTTTTTGACCTTATTCATGTTGGTCTATTGGGCCTAGCAAGAATTGTTAGCTCAATTATCAGCTCTAAACTTAATATCAATAAATATGTTTGAAATTTATTATTTTTTAAAAAAATGCTCATATTGATGGTTTGACATGATAATTGTGTATTTAATGACGCTAACTGAATTATGCTAATTTAATGAGAATAAAAAAGGAAATTGCAATAAATGCGCCAAACAACAGTAGTTTTCTTTTATATTTAAGCCCAAAAAAAAAACACTCTCATATAAAAAATGTCTGGAGGCAGTATTTATTTTATGACATAATAATAAATATGGTGTGTGGTAGCTATAATCTTCTACCATTGCCATTTTTGAATATAAGAGAAAATAATTAACACATAATCTAAGAAAATTAATTAAGTGTAATAATTATGTTTGAAAATAAAAAAATTGGACTAAATCATTCTTACAATTAATGAAATAAATTTCTTCGGTAAAAATAAATATTTATTTTATGAAGGAAAATTTAATTAAAATGTGATAAATTTTTGTTAAAATTTGTACTTTTGTTTATAAATTAAAGACAAGTAATATTATGTTTGATTTAGGATTAACATAACTGAGGCGTTTGTATAACATCCTTAATTTTCAACCTCAAATTTTA